CCCTCCGTCCGCCTTAAAGCACTTGCCAAAATTTATAGCATTTGGAAACTCAATGAGATGTATTGAGTACTACCACTTTAACTTTCCTGTTAGGATGGGGGAAAGGGAATTTCCCTTTTGTTAGGCGCTATTACTACAAAAATTTAGTTAAAAAACAATTCGAAAAGGATTTCGAGTTAAGTTCTTGACTTTTACGCGACAACAAATTTGCTCGCCGCGCTTGTTGATTATCAGAAGCAAGTGAATTTTTTGACAAAGTGCGCAACTGTGTTCGTCCCAAGCGTCTTCGAGTCATCCTAATCTGGCGCAATCGGTCCGCTACAAATGAGTGACATTGTTGCTGACTGTATCTTCATCAACCTTCAATTTGCTGCCAAAGGCCGAGGTCGCTCCGCCGGGTTCCGAGAGCAAAAGAGATGGCGCCAGAGACATCGACGATGCAGTGATCGGTTGTGTCGCTTGCTGCCAGCGCTAAATTATAAAAAAAAAAATTTCTTGAGACAAAAAAAAGATCAATTAAATTTGAATTTTGGGTATCATCAACCATGATAATTTTGCTAGCGATTGGTTGCTGTTGGCATTTGCTACCTCTCAGTGTACTTCTGAAGGTCTCTGCTTCTCTCAGATGTAATGCAAAAGAAATTTTGATTTTTGTTTTGAAAAGCAAATTTGAAAATGTGATTATTCTCAAACTTACAAAGTTTTAAAAGATTTTCAAAAAAAATTTTGATTACTAATCCAGAAAATTCATGAATTATTTTCAGAAGCAAAATCAAACAAAAATATGGTTACTTACTATTAAATATTTCAGCTTGGGACTAGTTGAAAGGGTACTTGTTAGTGTTGTAAAGGTATGCTCCCTACAAAACAATGATTGCAGTTTTCCTCAAAGAAGCAAATTTAAGGCATGCAGCTGAAGATCGGAGATCCCGACATATCTGTATCCGGTTTGTAGGAACATCGCAGTAACATCATTAACTCAACAAATAAAACACCGATTGTTTAGGAAGTCTTGGTATTCTTGGAAGATGATTTAGACTTTTAAATTTTCAGAACATAGATTTTTAATGGTCAGTTACCTGCTTCAAAGTGCCGTTTGCGGTGCATAGAAAGTAAATGGCAAAAATAGGAATGCTGAGAATTGACGTTAAACGCAGGAACCAGCCGAAGTAGGCGCTCCACTGTGGATATGTGTACGAGCCATCGGTCATCGGCTTCATTGAAGTATTATAAACCGTAACAAAAAATATAGCCTGGAATTGAACAGCTGAAAAGATTTTGACATCAAATGTCCAGAAGATAGGCAGAGGAAAGCATGCAATCCCAGAAAATATTGAATACTTACGCCAATAAAAACTGGACAACAAGTCCAGCAAAATCTCCAGTATAGTGAAGGAAAAAAGCCGAGCATTCGCTGGATATCTTGGCAAAACCGTCGAACCCCGTAGAACCAACACACGGCAACCATTTCGCACATCACAATGAATAGTACTGACAAAGAAACACCGTATTCATCCAGAAATGGAATCACATATTTGCCTCCCTGTAAATATACGGAGTTAGTGGGAATCCGATGCAGCGATAAATCCATAATTTGATCAGAAAGGCATTTTTGAAAAATTTTATGATGATATTAAGAAATACTGTTTCATCTGTTATCTAGTATCTGTGCGGAAATTTTGCAGTAAATTATAGAAGTGTTAAATAACGGTATATAAGAAATATAAAAATATACTAAATATTTTGAAAGATAATCAGGTGAACTGGCATGTTTCGGTCCATTAAGTCGTATACGTTCCTATTCACCGAGCCTTGTCAGTACAGTGGTTGAATATATTAGAAAACAATCAGACGAACAGGAATGTTTCGGTCCATTAAGTCGTATACATTCCTATTCAGCAGAACAACTGAGCCTCGTCAGTACGCTGGTTATGATGTTGATATGGATATAAAGGATAATGCAAAATAAATTAAATATATGTAGTTATAGACGCTTCATTTTGGAATTTATCAGGATCACCTGGACAGTCAGTGTGGGCATCAACACATTATTGATACCGCAGAGATGCTCCAGATGCGAAATGTACACAGAAAAAAAAAATTTCGAAAACATATATTAAACAGATGTTCTCGCGTTTTTTTTTTCCAGTCAACAATATTGTCCAAAGTTCATGTATATGATACAGATTTGCTCAAGTATTTTACAAATTTCAAATAAATTATTTGTGCAATGTATTTGTTCCTTTTATATAGTAGCAATTCATTTTTTTACCACTCGTATATTAATCATGTTTAGGCTTACCGACACTACGCTTCTTAGGCTTACTTTATTCGTCATTGCTCCACACCGACGTTCTTTCACATTTCTTGCCCCGTTCTTTTATTCTTTTAATTTTGCTTTTATTTAACTTATACATTTACTTCGTGTTGCTTTCCCCATCACATCAATTTATTAAACGAGGATTGTTATTATTAGTACTTTTCTTCTTCAGCAATACTTCTTACTATTAACATACATTATACAGTTAATTTAGTATTCATTAAATTCAATTACCAAAATAGTCATACTGACGAGGTCCAATTGTTGTAATGATATTGTATGCGACTTAATGGGCCGACATTTTTTACCAATAAATTAATTCTTATAATTTACAAATTTTGTAATTCTCATCTCTCACCTTTTTTACGCCTCCTGTTCTTTCATCCGTTATTAATACATCCTATTTTTCTGCTACTTTGCACAACAACACAACACTGATATAAAAACAGTAGTGAAATTATTATTATTGGACATCGATTCATATAAACACAATAGCTACGCCGCTGCTGTGCAGCAGTATTTTTGAAATCTGGCCAGCAGAAGCTAAACCTCTTAAGTTGACAGACTTGAGTTAAGAGTATAGCTTACGTATGTGACTGTTGGGAGACTGCCAAAGTAATAAATGATAGTTACGAAGCCTACAAATATCTCCCGTCTCCGTGCAAGAACTCGCGGGTATTCGTCACAAAATCCTGTAATCAGTGCTTCGATCCCACTGAACTGAAAGATATTCTTTCCATTAAAGTAAAAATTTCCAGAATAACAAAAAAAGCGGAATTCCTCAGTGACAAGTTACCTTCCAGAAAAAAGCGACCAAATTGCGAAATTCTCATGAAAGAATGATGTCGAACTATAAGCTATTTGCTAGTAATAACAATCTGTTAGCAAAATTTTCAAATAGGGCTGAATCGCGAAAAGGGTTTATTTTTGCTGTGTGGACCGATAGGGAATCGAACCACTCATTTCCACTGTCTTCGGATCCTTTGAATTGTGACGTATTGGCCACCGCACTAATATTGCATATTGTCCTATTGAGGTCAGAGCAAAGATAATTTTATTTTATGTGTTATTGCTGTTGCATCATGTCCTCCTCCTAGGTAGGTCGTGCGTTGTCGCGAAAGCAGCCTATATAAGGCCGCTGTATCTGTATTGTAAGGAGTATTTTATCCGGCACTATCGTATCCAGCGCAGCGTCTCTCTGAAGGAATAGTGTTACTCCCGTCCAGTGTTGTCGACCAACTCGTGTGAACTCGTGAAGTGCGCCGACCAAGACGTACCAAGAACGAGGACCTCGTGCCTACCCCCAGTAAGCCGACTTGACGGGCCAAAGTACCCGGCCTGCTGACTGAGGAACCCGGGCCCAGGGAACCCAACACTGCCGTTCCAGTGTTACCTCGAAATTCAGTTTACTCACCGTGCTGTCGATACCGAGAGTGATGAGCATGACGAAAAATATGAACGACCAGCAGTTCGAATAGGACATTGTGGCGATTGCTTGTGGATAAACGATGAATATCAAGCTAGCATCATTATCGCCGACAACTTCGCTTACTGGTACATTTGTTAGCGTTGACATGTAGCCAAGCGTAGAAAATATCACGAAACCAGCAAAAAATGATGTGGCACAGTTGATGATCGATGTCAATACTGCATCACTGAAAAGATAAGCATACGCCTTAAAAATAAAAGCTCCCTTTATAAATCACTTTTTACAAGAGGATAATAGCACTTGAAAGTAGCCCGAGTGGTAGCAAACGCCAAAAGCAACCATCGGTTGGCAAGGTTGTCAGTGATTCCCTTTTTCGAAAATTGTTCAGGCGTAAGCTAGTGGGTAATTGGCTTCAGTGGCATCCGTCAGTTTTAATTTAGTGTCGGAAAGAATGTTGGAATTAAAAAGAAACTAACTTATTCATTGAAATTTAAGGTTTGTCCCTCGAAAAAGAAAGCTGCGGCCTTCATCCAGTTTCCTACTCCTACTCGCATTCGACTTTTTGTCTGCGTTTATAGCTAAAGGAATGAAACACTGGCAGCAAATTTACCTGATCTGTTGGAACTTGTGATTTTCGAACAGTCTTACTAGATATTTCTGGCTATCCCATTAAGTTGTATGTATTTTTCACAGAAACCCGTGAATGCAGTTTTCAGAGTTATTAAGATTTCTTAGACAATAAGCGCAAAGATAAGTGTTAGTCGAGAACTGGAAGTTTTGTTTCTCGGCATCACTGTATTGTTCCATAAACCAAAAATGTCTGCTTTTGGCACAACAGTTGTCAAATAAATTTCTTTTTCAGTGTTTTTGTTTTGGGTACTAACTGGAGATACGCAATTCAGGATCGCAAGGCCTTGAATATCACTACAGGACATCGGACTCCTAAAAAATGGTTAGCAAATTGCTTAAACTGACTTGTGCATAAGTATACACAAATTTGCTTGCTATATTAAATTGTATTTATTTTTCTATTTATTTTACATTTTATTTTTATATTTAATCCTGATTTCCTATCTATTTTTCCTGCTTATTTCCTTTATTAACTATGCGTAAGGAGCTTATAATGCGCTCCTGGAAAAAACTTCCGTCTTTTTCTTGAACCGATTTTAACATTTTTGTCGATGAAAAAGTTGAAAAAGAATCCATTTATTTATCGATTTTTGCTCTTTTCCAGTGTTTTTTTCGAGCAAAAATGCGTTCATCACAATTTAAAGTTGTGCAGTAATTTTTCTGTGACAGCTCACCGATGGCAATTATTTTCGAAGTCGTTGTAACTGCTCAGTGCAAGCAGGACACCGAAACCGGGACCGAGCGAGAAAAAGATTTGTGTGGCTGCTGCTGTCCATACATCAATATTCAGGAGCATTTCAAAATTTGGCGTTAAATAATAATAAATTCCTGTCGATGCACCTGGAAGCGTTATGCCACGTACGAATAGTACCGTCAGAATCATATATGGAGCAGTTGCCGTTACCCAAACAAACTGAAATTTTAACAGATCATTCCTATTTGTTCTATTTTTAGCTAATTCTTATTCCTAAGCTTGAAAATTATAGCGTTTCATTTTTTTAATGGTTTTTTTTGTGTCAGTGATGAAGTGCAGTAACTGTCAGCGAGCGCTCTAGACTCGCTGGTGTGATCATACGTTTTTGCACGATTTCATGCTTAGTGGATATATTTCTGTCCTATTGTTTTTGGATTTTGATTTGTTATAAGAGAAGTTGAATGGGATCGGAAGCTGTTGATGTGCGAAAGAATCTCGTGGAAAGCATTAATTAGCTTTCTTTCAGCATTGTTTTTGCTACAGTGAAGAGGAATGTCGCTAGTACTATGCTGATAGTTTGTACAATCATGGAGAATTGTAGCAGAAGTCCAGATCTCGCATACACTTCTGGAAGTTCCACCTGCTCATACGCGAAATCTGGACTTTTGTGAAAGATTAATTTCAAAGTTCCTGTTACCCATCATCATATTCCAAGAAAGTTTTAGCTTTTCAGACCAATTAGCTGTCGAAATCGCTTTTTCCTCAAAAGTGGTTTGTCGCAATCATAAGCGTGACACAAGCGTACGCGAATGTTCTTTTCACGTGTACGAACTTACACATGCACAACAAATGTCCTCACAATTTAGAGGAAACTATTTACTCTAGCTTCCGAGTTGGTATTTTGCGAACTCTTGCAAAATCGCAAATGCGACGTGTCCATACTCACTGCGTATGCGTGCCTTCAAGCTGAATTTAAAATCTTCAGCTCGCATAAAGACACAGGATGTCCATGCAAAGTTTCAGCTTCCTGTCTTGCGTGGTTTCCGAAATTGCTTTTCCGCCAAAAAAAAAAATTGCACACTTTTTTTAGGAGCCTATATGTGAGACTCAGACGTAGGGAAGTGACAATTTTAGAGATGGAGCATTGCGCACGTGTGAAAACGCGCTCCAGAAATTTTAGCTTCCTAGCTTCTCCAGCTGCTGAGTTGAAAGAGACTGACAAAAGTGCTCACTCACGCATACAAGCACATATAAATATATATATGTATATATGTAAATAAACAACCCCTCATCAAAATGCTTTTTTGCATTTGCATAAATGTGTTAAAATGCACAAACGCATACTGACGAGTAACTTCCGGTATGTGTTTGCATAAGTTCGGATTTGGACACTCGATTTCAGCAAAGAAACTAGTCAATTAAAAATTTTTGAAGATTTTTTTAGATCCAGGTGCGGTCCATGGACTTAAAAAAATATCTGTGTATCTAATTTACGAACATCTGAAAGCAGTACTGAAAACGTTTTAGAGGGAAAACGATTTCAGAAATCAGAAATGTTGGCAAACTGAAACTCAACGATAGCATTCTCCGTCTAAAAGCGACCAACGTTGTGAGTTCAGCCTCGAAGAAGTCAAGTATTTTTTATTAAACCCAGGCTGGAACGCACCAGGCGAGCCGGTGCGATCATGCGTTTTTGCACCAGACTTGA